CAGGGAATTTAATTAAATCATTTGAAAAAAGAAAAATAGATAACAGAACCGTGCAAAGGACTGTGCACAGTTTAGCATATGAATTAGCAGCAAAGTGCCTTCGTGATTTTCAGGATATCTCATGAAAAATGCAGATTTATGCACATTTTATGCATGAAAACGCAGCAAACAGCATCAAATTGCATGCATATCACTAAAATGAAAAATTTTGAGCTGCAGGTTAGCAATAAAATAAAAAATCGAAAAGATAACATGAGCGTAATTGCGACTGCATAGCAATCAGCAATCACACCAATGAGGATCCTTATTATGGTGATCAGTTCATTAACTGGATGCAAGCTCATTCATTTCATAAACATAGTAAGAAATTCTTATAAAGGATAAATACTGCAGCAGCAGGAGCAGCATTTTGACAGTTCTTTTCTTTCTATGAAGGATTCATTTCAGTTTTATACATCAAAAAATATAAACGAGCAACGTCAAACCAATCAATCTTGTCAATTCATTAAGATTCTTATTAACGCCGCAGTCATATTTTCAGCTTCATAATTTGCTTAAACCATTCCGTCACACAAGCTGAACCCCATTTTAATGAGCATCATGTCTTCTCTTGTCACTGTAACCTGCGGCTCCCTGAAGACACAAACACTAAACCTGCACAACAGCAAAACAACAAAGTTCCACACATGTAATTGGCTTAAAATATTAGAGGGGAGCGGGTCAGTACATTTTTATAATAGCGATTTCTCAGTGCACCAACATGAGAGTCAATCTTTTTATGGTTTGCTGCACAGTGCAGCTCTTCTTGCACTGCAGTGGATGTGTGTGATGGTTAATCGTGGTTCTATACCGCCATCTCGTGGCGACATTGAGCACCACGCCCTGGTGGCAGGAGAAAGGAACACGCCATGGTTTGAGGAGGTTAAAGAGTGTGACTGTTTACAGAATTAGTTAATGACGGACATGTCACACCTTTCTCGTTCAAGCAGCCACGTGGATCTTTAAAGGGTTTTGGATGCAGAGGCACAAAGTGGCCAGTGTGGCTGGACTTAAAGACAAAGCAGGAATTCTTGTTGCATCAAAAATGTTCACATCAATTCGCTGCATTCTTCTAAAATGCATGCTCAATTCTCTGTCAGTAAACCCAAACGCCTTTAGACATTTATCTGCTCGGCTAGATTGCAATTACTCGCAGCCTCTATCTCCTGCTACCCTCCATCTGATTGGACCACTATTGATATTCCACAGACTGTGAGGAAAAACAATTGCACACATTATTTTATATTCCCGTGGGAGTTTTCTGTCGAGACAAATGCTGTATTGCTCTCACTCAGGCTGCTACATCCTCGAATCTACCACCCTGAGATGTGTTTTGATGTTGTGATAACCTTCCACTTCTCAGCTGCATTCAGTCCAAATGCAGGCTCCAGATCCTGTGGGGAGGGTAACAGGCTTCACACTATGACTCATCTTATCAGTTTTTACACTGATATAAGCGATATTTCCAAGAGGCATACAGCCACCCTAAAAAATGATGCACTGACTGTAAGGAAAGATGTTATTTTTACAGAGATTGTTGTCCAGTTGAGAAACTGGTTTAACACAAGTAACAACCAGAGATGGGCAGTAACTGTAATCTGATTACTTTTTTCAAGTAATGAGTAAAGTAAGGGATTACTATTGCAAAAATGGTAATTAGATTACCGTTACTTTCCCGTAGGAACGCTGCGTTACTGCATTACTAAAACCGTGATTTTTTTGCGACAATGTCTCATGACAATGACGTAAACAAGTGCGACGTTTGTGACAACAGCTGTGTGCAGATAAACAATGGATCATATATCGAGTGCCGGAGAGAGTATGAGCATGCAGCGTTTAAAGCGTGGAAGTACTGACCTTACTTTGAGTTTGATTCCATAAAAAGTGACAAAAACATTAGTGTCCGTAGTGTGTGGGAAGAAAACTTCTTTTTACAGCGAAAAAAAAAACCCTAAACAAG